AGATATGCGGACTTTTACTAATGGCTAACGTACTGCAATTAATGGCTAGTAACTGAGTGTTTTTCATATTTCTAGTGCTGTCTTTGTGGTTGCAGGCCTTTTTGCTAGTTGTTTGCATGATTTGGATCACTGATTAGACCTAATAGAACCTTGCACTAGGTAATTTATTCTCAGACTGCTATAAATTATGCCTTTTTATATACTGTGACTATTGTAATCACCTATAGAATGTATCTTCTAATTATTCTTGTGTGAGGAAATGGGCTTTTTAGTCTTTCCTGGGTTATCATTTGTTCCTTCCACCACAATTACTCATTTCAGAACTGTAAGTAATATGTCTGTCAATTTAAGCCTCATTATGGGGAATATGAGGGATTTAATAGGAGGTTCATCACTCTGAGAATGCCCCAGGGTAGGGATTTTTCTCCAACAAGCCTATAGGAAGACTTCGCTAGTTTGACCAAGTTACGTTTCAAAAATGTTAAGTTTACCCAGCAGAGCTGAGTTCAGTAGCAGTTGAGTGGTTGTTTAACGTTCCTTAAATTTAGTAGGGGATTTGACTGAAGGGAACGGCCCCAGAGGTAGTGATTTAATTAATTAATTAATTTGAAACCCCAACTATGCCCCATTATGACATGTACTGGGATAGTGGAGCTTGATATTGATAAGTACACGATAAATTTATTGTAAATGTCTGCTATTTTATTTTTTATAGGCATTTTATACCTTGCCAGCGAATTGGATCACAACAGGTTGCTCATGAGTTTTTGCTTACATGTGTAGTAGGAGACTAGGAGCTCAAGTAGGTACAAGGTTGAGCTTTAAGCTATGTATAATTATAGACCTCTAGCAGTAAAAATTGATTACATAAGAAGATTATTAGAAATTTTTACAGTTGTAAGGTGTGGTTTAGGATGAAATAAATTCAGCTGCCATTTTGGTTGACAACTTTTAATGGAGAACAAACGGGCTGGCATGAAAACAAACCTGTATTGATAATTCTGGGGCAAATTAGACCACATCATTTGGAGAAGAAGCTTAAAGGGAGGCTTGCACGCGAAAATAAATTGAGATATGCT